GGATGATTACGTAGGAGCAAGCTGAGCTGCACTTTGGGCAGGGAGAGCCCACGCTTGTATCGGGGATCCAGACCAGACATGTAAATATCTATAATTAGAGTAATGATGACTTTTCTTCGGGGACAAAAAACAAACTGCTATCAAGCACCTGCTTTAAAGAAGCCTCCCACATCCTGGGGCAAAAATAAGTGTAGTCCACAAGCTCAGTCTCACCCTGGGGAAAAGATCCCTGTTTGTTTCAATAACATTCTAAGCACTTAGATTGGTACTGTGGGAGTCCATGTTGGGCTCGTACCAATTTCTGTTCTTCTTTATTATATTTGTATTGCATATGTTGTAATTCATACCTTCAAATACGTTCAATGGGTTTAAATGTGTCTGGTTCTTTATGGTCTCCCAATATACTTAAAAAGGCATAAACAAACACCGGATAGACAAGGCTTATTCTCTCCCCCCCCCCTCTCTCTCTCTCTCTCTCTCCCCCCTGTGTGCGTGTCTGTGCCCGTGTGTGTGACAGGGCGCGCGCGCGTGTGTGTGAATGTGTGCGTGTGTGTGTGTGTGAAGTGAGGGAGAGAGTGAGAGAGCACACGCTCGAGACAGCCATGTTCTCCCAGCCTCCTCGAGCCAGTAACCATGACAACAGGACGGCTGGGAAACACGGTTCAAGCTCAATTGAGGCCGGCGCCTTTCTTTTTTTTATCCCAAATAGACGTTGGTCGCGTTTCAAGATCGAGTTGTCCTCTTTTCTCTTTCTCTTCTCGGGGTACAGAGGGGGGGGGTGTTGAAAACACACACGCACACACCTCCATAAAAGCCCACGGCCCGCGCGGTGCGTGTATCTCCAGCCCACACACAGCGGTCCTCCTGCGGGCTGTGTGAGCATTCACGCTCCCGGTTTAACGGGAAAAGCAAAGACGCCAAAAGCCTCCGCGCAGCCCGAATTACATGACGCCTCAGCGTTCTAGCACACGGACAACGTGACACATGCGAACGAAAACACTTCAAAGACGGCCGGTGACCTCGCGTCTCTTCACTCACCGGTGAAATGCGTCCAGTCAGCGGTGGTCCTCTCTCTCCCTCTGCCTCGCCACATCCACACCGGGGAATAACACTGACAGACGGGCTCTTTTGCCCCCCCCCCCCCCTCTCGCCCCCTCCTCTCTCTCTCTCTCTCACTCACCGGTATGCGCGTGCGACCGTTGTTCGCGGCTCGCGATCACCGCGCGGAGGATCGGTGGGCGAGGGTCTCCGTGTCCCTCTCTCCTCTCCTCTCCCCTCCTCTCTTCTCCGCGGAGCCTCGGTGCGTCCGAACGGCGGCTTTGAGAACGTGTGTGTGACCTCGGGCTCCCCCCGCTCGGGAGGACCGCGCATCCCCTCTGTGGATGTGAGGGTCTGCGGCGGGAGATCAGCTCTGACGGTCCTCCTCTCCGACCGCCGGCGGGATGACGCCAGAGACCCGCTGTCCGAATGGCATTTAAAGGGGTTCGCCTTCGACTCTGCAGCAGGAGCCGGATGCAGGCTGAGCCCAGCGAGTCCAGTGGTTCCCAGACTGAGCTCCAGATGCTGCACGGACCCGCTGGAGGAGTTCCAGCGTGTCCTCAGAAGAGTGGGTTACTGGACTTGGCATCTATTTATTCCAACAGACACGTTGGGAAAAGCGAGTCAATAGGGGGGAAAGTTTGTGAATTGAGCGGAACAGACAGTTCATGTTATTGATTTACAGACAGTCAAATAGTCCCGTCCAAAGTCCAAAGTCCTTCAGCTGTCATATCCAGGATGCAGCATTGGTCATGCTGAAGTTTGACTTAGATAGGAATTTGGTTTCTGCAGAGGAAAACATGACCCATGAAACCGTCAATGTCCGGATGTTATTGATTCTTAGATATGCTACAAGACTAAAAAACTATTAACAAACAAATTATATAAATTCAAATTAAATCTTGAGTGTTTGAAATATTTTGTGTGAGCAATATAATCCCTGAAAAATTGTGGAGTAATCAGTTTTACATGGCATGATATAGTGCCCCTTAAAATTTGGTATACTGCGTCAATTGCAGGTTGACGCAGCAATAACCAGCAGACTGACCTGAATGATAACAATTGGAACAAAAGGTCACACTTTATTCGTTTTTAAATGGTAATACTGTTAGCCACGATAGCTTTAGCAATGTCACTGTTATAAGAAACTTCTGCATTTACATTACATTTCATTACATTTAGCAGACGCTTTTATCCAACGTGACTTACAATAAGTGCATTCAACCACAGGGATACAAACTCAGAAGAACAAGAAACAAGAAAGTGCATTTTCCTCAGATGAGCCAATTTACAATTTGCTATAGATGAGTGGCATTATAAGTACAATTTAAGTGCTACAATTTGTTAGTCTTTAGTCGAGGTAGAGTCTGAAGAGGTGTGTCTTTAGTTTGCGGCGGAAGATGTGAAGGCTCTCTGCGGTCCTGGTGTCTTCAGAGAGCAAAGAGTCGTGATCTAGTCGAGTGTTTTGCTCTCAGTGAGGAAGGGACGAGCAGTTTTGCAGATGCATCCCGGATCAGTATCTACACCTGCAGCGCCGGGTTATTGCTGCTGGACGGAGTGGAGTGTAACTCTCAGAAGGACCGACTGGGCTCTTCTAGTTTGACTCACTTTTATGTATCTTCATCAATTCTTCTATTTCCAAAAGGGCTGAGTCATTCTGGAGAAAACTGTCAATACTCCTTTCTACTGTCCCAGCGCAAAGACAGGAGTCTTTGCGCTGGCACAGTAATCGCAGACCTCCCTAAAGGAAAACACCACAAATGAAACCACCGTAAAGATGACAATCACTTATGTAGGCTGGAGAACAAAGGCGGAAGGCTTTTTGGTGGCAGCTGACATTTTGTGTACATTCCTTTGTGTGTACGTACAAGCGGTCCGATTCCCCCCTGCTCCCAATTATTGGACAAAGATAAACAAGGCCTGGTTTTAGATATCTGGGATTATGCTGACCATGGCTGGTGTTGCCATGTTTTCTATTGGGTGGAGAAAAAAATATACAATTCTTGGCCTCAATAACGAGCCTGATCTCCAAAACCTGTTTGTAAAAATGTATACGAAAATCTTGAACATACAAATTTCGTAGTGATACATACGAAATGACGTCACCCTATTCAAAGTGAATGAGGACCTGCACCCCGTAAACACACCTCGTGAAGTCTAACGATGTAAAATAAACGTGTTATGATTGCATTTTTAACGAGAAATCAATGTTAACTTGTAAGAATAGAATACGAACCCTAACCCCCTCAAAAAATCCGGAGAGGCGGAGAGACGTTCACTCAAGAATCCGACATGGTCCGCCATGTTGTTCACTCAAGGGGCGTGGTTAACCACCGCCAGTTCGTATGTATTCTTACGAATTTGTATGTTCAAGATTTTCGTATACATTTTTACGAACAGGTTTTGGAGATCACGTTGCAATAACGGACGAGCAGTTCAAGTTATCTGCCAACGCGGTGTCCACTCTGCCCTTGACAAAACACAGAGGACATTTTCTTTCTCTATACACGCATCCATTTTCACCCCCTTTCAACCTGCTATCTCACTCTCACTCATCTCCTGCGTGTAGAACCAGCGCAGTTGAATCAATCCAAGAGCCAGCCGGCTATACTGCCTTTAAAATATACAGAATAGTGCTTTGCGATTACCATCGTTACTCCGTGCTCCTCAAGGTCAAAACAGAAGCGCAGCGGGCGTAAACAACAACACATACGGCTCGGGTCTCCTGCCAAGTTTGTTTTCTACCATGTTTTCTTCAGGGATCTGCAGAGCAGTGCTAAGCTTCAATGAGACGCCCGCATGGATTGAGAACTTCAGCCTCCAATCCAGTTGATCTCCAGTGATCAATAGCACATTAGAAGGAGATAGAGGGGGAGTGGCTGAGCGAATGGATGAGGAGAGAAGAGGGGGAGGGGGGGGGAGTAGAGATAAGAAGAAGAGAGAGAAATGCAAAAAGCAAGAATGAGGATGTGGCCGGAACAAAAGAACCCAGTATGTGTTTGAAGACAAGGGGAGGAGAAGGTTAGAGAGGCGAGGCCCGTAGTGAGACAGGTGTAGGGGGGATATGCGAGGAGAAGGGGGAGGCAGGGAGGGGAGGAGCAGGTTTGAAGATGAAAAAGAGGGTTCAGAGGACACACAGATGACCGGAGAGCGCTGGAAACAGTTTGGGGGAAGCCCACTGCAGACGCACCGTCAATCCTAATTACTAATTCATTAACCTGCCCAACTCCCTTCCCCCTCTGTAACCACACACACACACACACACACACACACACACACACACACACACACACACACACACACACACACACACACACACACACACACTGCTCCCTCCGTACCTCCTCCATGTCCCAGGAGAGGCAGAGGGATGGATGGATGGATGGATGCAGAAATGAGGAGGTGGCTCTGCAGCTATGGGACATCTGCAGAGCCATGATGGCTGCAATGTGTTGGGGACACTAGAAATCCCTGATGTGACAATGGGAGGGGGGGGGTGGGTAGGGGATGTATAGGGGAGGGGGGAGGGGGGAGGGGGTGGGAGGCAAAGGGTGAGGAGAAAAAGCTAACAGCTTGCGTTTTGATTTGTCGGGGTGGGTGGTCTCCTGCGCTGGTGCACATGGTGTGTTAATGTGGCGCTGTCAGAGTGTGTATGTGTGTGTCATCATGCATGCATTCACCTGTGTGTGTGTTCTATAGTGCGATCTCAAGGTGTGCATTCAGGAGAAGTGTTCTTGTGGCTTGTGTGGAAATGAAACCAGGTAGTGGGAAGATTAATCAATATGCTGATGTTGGTGTGCTACGAAGAAAAATTCATTGTGAGGGTAATCAAAGCGTGGGGGAGGTGCTAGACAGTCTGATGGTGTGTGTTTTTGGCCTGTGCTGCGAGACTCCTCTTTGTGTGTATACTGTATAAGTGTGTGTGTGTGTGTGTGTGTGGGCCACAGATTCACACACATAGAAATTCCATGCAGATTCTCGCAGTGACAATTGACATGTCTGACTGTGTGAGCAACAGATGTGCGCACACACAGATTCTCATTCACGCACGCGAGTGTGCAGACACGCACACTTGACACACACACACAGACACACACAGAAGAGTGTAGGGAGTGCTGAGTGAGGTGGAATTTTAATAGAGAAAATCTTCCCAAATGAGCATCGATCCACCGAGCTGGACAGCGTGGGCTGCGTCTACAACGGCCAAACGGACAAGGAGCTTCAGTGAGACAGCTGGGGCTCGCACACTCACACGCACAGACACATGCAGGAAGCATCGCGGCACATACACAACATACACGTACACACTGCGGGGATGTGTGCGCACGCGGAGCAGGTCTTTTGATTATGATCAGATGGCTTCACAGCAGAAATGTGCTTGAGATTGAAAAGCATGAGTGTGTCTCTGATATGGAATTAATATGTGTGTGTGTGTGTGTGTGTGTGTGTGTGTGTGTGTGTGTGTGTGTGTGTGTGTGTGTGTGTGTGTGTGTGTGTGTGTGTGTGTGTGTGTGTGTGTGTGTGTGTGTGTGTGCGTGCGTGCGTGCGTGTGAGTGTTTTTACAAGCTGGTTTCACTGATTACCAATCAAACCTCCCGTGACAACATTCAAAGGGTGGATTCCTGTACGTTCTGCAGCAGTGATGAGAGATCTTTAGCGTTTTAGAGTCACAAAAAACGTTTTCTTAAATAATACTAAAGAGCAATATTGAGCAACGTTGATTTTAATCTCAAGCCCCACTTTTGACATACCTACAATGAATCACATGACTATTTTGTATTGGAGGACGCCCCAGCTTTATATTGTCTTTCAGCTGATTGTTTCGGTTAACAATTTCTCTGTTTTTGTTCAGTTCACGTGAGTAAAAAGCTCTGAGTTACACAGTTAGCAACCAGCTGGTGAACATGATGGAGCAGTAGCTTAAGAGCCAGACATTTTACCAGAAACAGGATACTAGAGAACTGCTCTGTAAAGTGCTGGATGTTGTAAATGGGAAACTGTTAACACACTTGACACATCACTTCTGTTTAATGTTGTGTGGAAGACATTATAGCACCAGGCACTTTAGCACTGAGGCTTTCTCAGCCCTCACTTGAAGGCATCAGATTCAGTAAAACACATCTTCTCTCACCTTCGATACGGACATCACGATTCTACTTTGGTTGGACTCCCGCAGTTCCCTTGACTACCTCACCATCATTCCTTACCCCTGAAGAGGAGGGGGACGCGTCATGTCAGCAATTACGTGTATGTGTGTGTGTGTGTGTGCGTGTGTGTGCAAACGTGTCGGTGTGAGTGTGGCTCTCATCTGGGTCATTACAGTCAGTGACATGAAAAAGCGGGTCACAATGACACACATCCCTCCACACGACAGAGGCAAAAAGAGAGGGGGCGGGTAATCGTTTGAGGATCGGTCACGTCCACCTGTGAACACCCGTCCTCGACAAGCTGAGGTGGAATACAGAGGTTACAGAGGTGATACTGTTTGTGTATTTTTGTGAAAGTGTGTGTTACAAGACCATGTCTTCTATTTTTGTACCTTGGTGGAAATCAAAGACTTGATTGCCACCAGATTCCATAGAAAAATGAAAAACATCATATCTTTAGGAACTATTTGGTCACTTATGGTCCATTTGTGTTTACATGTGTGCTTGTGTGTGTGTGAGAGATAGTGAGACAGAAAGACAGCCAAGCAAAAAAAAACAAAATAACAGGGAAAACACTGGCGGCTTTGCCAACACGCTGGCAGAATGTGCCATGTGTGTTTGAAACGCTGTGTGTGTGTGAGAGTGTGTTTGCCAACTATAAGTCTGCTGGCCAGCCGGGTCAACAGACAGACCGGTCACCATAGCAACAGTGCCACACTCATCCCCTCGGTGCCAAGTTGAAAATATGGAAATGATATAAAAACAAGGACGCCTGGCTGTTGAGAAGTTTCAGGACGGCGGCATTTTGACACACAGGAGTCTCTTGTTCCCCGGGTGGTCCATCTCGGTGTTGCCCTCCAACGCGCCATCGGAAGGGTTATATTACAGTACGTGCACCACGCCGTCCATCTTATCTGATATACAGGAAATATAAGGCATCAAATACTTCTGCAAACACACCTAACTGCTATAGGTTTTACGGGGAAAACCCCCCCGTCTGTCAGTCACTTTGCACACGACCCCGGCGGGCTCCCTCGAGGACTCAAACAAGTCTGTCAGATAATGAAACAGAGGCTTCTGCATGAACCGCACAGCGTGAAGTTACGTGTGCTTTTAAATATGACTGACTGCACAGTGTTGTCGGCATTCCCCTTTGGGCCTTGTAGGCACTTCTCCAAGCTAACAGGCTAACTTTAGCATTGCATACTATCCTGAATACAGAACACTTTTAATGATAGTCATAGCATTTCCAATATGTATACTTTTGCTTAGCCCTGTATCTCATATTTGTTTTCTAAATACCGTAACAGGGAAAATGTTTCACCGACACGAGCGTAATATATATAATGTTGCTCATCGTGATGAACCCAGAAAAAATCAACATCTCAATCAAAGGTCCTTAATTTCCTACTTTTAGGTTTTGTTTTACAACTTCACTCCTTTGGTTCACTCTCACAAGCCTTATCAACTGTGTTTTCAGGCTGTGAATAGCTGGACTTTTGTTCAATGGTTCCCTAATGCTATATTACTTCTTTTTTTTACAATAAAATGTTATTCAAATGTGATTTTTGAAAATATAATTCAGAAACATTAGTACATCAATACGATGGATATTTGTATTGTTAAATTCATCTGAAGACTCTTTAAAACTCATCATGCAACACATGCTATCGTGGCAGCATTTTACATGGACCACCCAAGGGTCCACACTCACTCGGCTCGTACTGCCAGTTAAATTACTTTTGGGACTAAAGCGATACTTTGCGGCCGGTTTAACCGTATGTCTCTCATGTGAATCCATGCTCTTCACAGAGCCTGCTCCATATCAGCGGGGCCCATGCATTAAACACGGGGCCATTGAGGGGGCAACATTTTGGAATAATTGACGTGGTAAATTTGCCTTGGTCTATTGTAAAAATAGAAGTTAGTGCTTGTTGTTCGGAAGCAAAAAATGACAAGTTTTATTTTATCATTTATGTTAAAATAACATGCTGGCACTGATAAAAAAAGATGAGGTGCAGACTTGTTGACAGGAGAGAACAGACTTATTGGACACCTGTACTATTCATGATTAGAAGGTCATTAATAATGTGGTTTTCTGTGTTTTTTTGGTGATCTGAAGAGCTGGGCCGGACTAACCTGCTAAAGTAACACAAGTAAAGGAAGCATTTAAATTAAAAATCAACTTGCCTTCAAAAGTAGTAATTTAGTTACCAAACGTTTATTCCAACGTTCTTTGAAACGCAATGTGATGGAGTCGACTATTTAGCAATAATAACAGCAGACTTTTGGACCTACAGAGCACTACTTCTTTCTAAAATATTTAGATAACTATTCACGACACAGGTGCAACCAGATTGGATCACTTGATTTCAGACATGATAATCAGTAAATAACAAAATGTCACCGACAAACATTGTCTCATTTAAGACAATCAGCTTTTTATTGACACAGGACCCTGGCGTCCCGGTATCACCGGCCCTCGCTCCAGCAGAGGGTGCTGTGCATGTAGAGTCACGCGTGACCGCATGTGCCCTCTGTGGTGGAAACTTAGCAACTTTGTTGCTAGATTCAGTAACTTTTCAGACTACCATGGCAACTCTTTTTTCAAACATCACCCAGCAACAAATGTATTTGGCACATTTATCAACGTGTGCTAAAAGTTAAAAGCTTTGAGTTAAGTTGCTTGTTCGATAAAATATATACCTTATTATTAGCTTGTGTCTATTATTGTTGACCAGTTTGGTAGCATGTTAACTATCTATAGTTAGCAAGACTGCTTAAAACTATAATGGTTCAGAAGTTGCTTTACTAGTTAATAAGAAAAAAATGTGATTGTTCAATAATATGTAACATGTACGTGTAAATAATTCTATATGTTGTGTTTAGAAATATCTGATTATATAATATGTGTTGTGAATATTACTTCTACAAATACACATATTTGATAAGGAACAAACAAATCTAAACTAACAAATGTCAATTTTTTGCTGAGATGGACAATTTGAGTTACGTTAGTTTGTATTCAGCGTAATGACCCAGTTTTACGTAATGGCGTCATCATTAATGGCATTCAGACATGGTAGCAATGCCTTGATAGCTGCTGGGAGTTTCCCAATTTACACAACACTGTAAGGGAATATACAGGTAAGACAGTGACACACCGGCAACTTACCCTGTGTCAAAATGATTTCCTGGAACTAAAAACTGCTCTTAACAGCCTGGGTGGAATTTATAAGGTGCGGCCAAGAGTCTAATTTGAAACCTGTCATTATGTGCACAAACATGACTAAGCCAAACTGAGCTTACCTGTATCAGGTATTAAGAGAACGGAGTAAATTAAACCAACCGAAAGGCCTTCACTTTTACTAACTTATTGTGGTCTTGTATCTAGTAAATAAGACTTCAGTGATGTGAGGTGGACATTAAATTCAGATTTGGGATTGGAAGTGAACTTCAATAACTTATTGTAGGCAAATATTGTTCCTCAGAAGAGTAGCAGAGCCGAGCTGTTTGTATTTATTTGTCTGTGTGAGTAGACCTTGAGCTTTCTGCCCCGATACCAGACACCAACTGGGGGAAAAACAAACGGGTGTCTGGTTTCACTGAAACACCGGTTTTGGTGGAGATCCGACAAGGCTGGTTTGATTTTGCCTAAAGCCAAAGTGATGTGGCCGTTAATCTGTTGGTATGGTATCACGTGGATTTCACTCCGACTGAAGCAAACCAAAAGTCTTTAATGCATTTCACTTAATCATTCCTTTGTTAGTTAACATTTCACGGCAAAAGTTACATTTTAAAAACAATTTACTGTATCCATACTTACTTTTACACATTTCAAATTGAGTTTTATTGCTAACAAAAGAATGTAAAGCTTCATCTGCAACTCGACACAAGAATAAAGTGGCTTATAGGGTGAAGAAATCCTTTTAAGATATCCTCTCTTTGAACATCAGATGCTCATAGCATATAGAGCTTATGTATTTTTACTCTATTAGATGAAACATTGTATTAATTTGCTCAGGAATCTTCTATCAACAGACAGCTTTAGTAATTGACAGCAGCCAAGCCTGTGTCTAATGTTTGTTGACTTTATAACGTGGTAATGCTGCTGTTTCCCAAACATCTACTGGTGGATTTACTAGTAATTATAAAGTTAGAGTTTTAACAATAACTGTTAATTAAGTATTATACATTTATTTGTAAATTGATTTCTTCTGGGAATTCGTACCAAATGACAGTTTCTAGGAAAGCATCCTAGAAGTATTCATGAATTACAAAATAATTAAAAACAACCCCCACTCTTTCCTTGTTGTACTCTTATGTCACCTTTTGACATTTAACATTATTAACACTGTCCTGTTACGGAAACTCCCGCCTCCGCCACTTATTGAACCAAAACAAAGCCCAATGTTGGCCAATTGAAAAGGGAGCATCTAATATTTACTGACCACTTACCGTAAAAGTGAACTTGTCACGACTCACCCAGGCAGGCCTGATGGGGTTAATCATCTACGCATCAATTGAAAACACTTTAGCCATCATTAGCCATTATTGCTCACAGGCACGCGAGTGACATTCACACCATTCGGCTGATTTGGCACCGCGCTGCAGAAACAATTTGCTGCTGGCCGGACGAGTGTGTCAACAACCTGTTGACGGGAACCAAAAACTAAAAGGATCCTGTGGGGTAAATATCCAGATTCCTTCCCGCGCATGTGAGGTTGTGATTCATTGTTTTCATACAAAGCCAACAGGGCTTCCTGGAGAAAGAAAAAAGAAGTGCGGGGGGGGGACACACAACTATGCAGAGGCTCACTTGTGTTAAAACAGAAAAAGACTAATAATAAATCCTACTTCCTGTGCCGCTACATATGGAGAGATTACAGAGCCTGTCAGGAGAAATTAAATTCCTCATGTCCCTGATTGAAGCTAAAAAACAAGAGGGGGGGGGGGGATTAGAAACATGAATCAATACTAGCAATGAATCCATGAATCAAAGGTTGCACTGAATATAGTGAATGTATTTACTCACAACATCGTATGAATTTAGAGGAAGTAAGAAAAGAAAGTGAGGGAGGAAGGAGGAGATAAGTGCGGTGATGTCACTCCGGCCCACTCCTTTTCAGTACAAATGCAGCAGAGCAGAGCTCAGCCTGAATACCAGTGCTGCTGACGACCGCTCTGATCCCACACTCACACACACTCATCACACACCCGCTCACATCACACACACACACACACACCCGCTCACATCACACACTCATCACGCCGCTCTCAGAGAGGCCGGAGCTCAGAGCAGCACCGGAAGATGCAACCGGCTGGCAGCCACTGAGTGAGTCCACTCTCTCTCTCTCTCTCTCTCTGTCTCTCTTGTGCTGTGATTGCCATTCCTGGCCCGTCTGGGCTCATTCATCTTGCACGTCTCTCCTCTGCCGCTGTGAAAACGGCCAGTGTTTTCTCAGACTGAGAGACTTTTCAAACTTTTTCTCTCAGTATGCCGCTCACACGCCTCTCCTCTCGCTGCCCGCTTTCTCTTCTTCGCTGCACACGCAGAAGCGAGTCCCGGGGCCCGGAGCCAGACCCGGAGGCCTTTTTATGTTCCTTATAACACATGTGGATGTTGCTTCTCATGGTGTGATTGCTGTATTCCTGTGTGGGATGTTACTGCCTGAGAATAGTTTGGCACAACATTGGTGCCGTGCTGCCAGGCCTTTGTTCCAATGTGTGGTTAATAGGAGGGAGCTGTTGTGCAGGGTTTTTTTTTTTTTAAACCAACCAATTTGTGTGTCTTTGTGGACGTTGGTGTCACTTTAAGTCAGCTCTAGTTTCTGTGTAGTGCTTTTTCAACACCGTTTTCTAAATGGCCTCACAGCTCCTAGATTGTGATGGAATGAATGAAAACGCCCCGCAGACAATGAACAAGAGTGTCACAAAAGCCCCATCGGGGGGAAAACACTACAGCTGAAAGAGTGCTGGGTGGAGTTAATGGATGAATAGAGACCGGTTCTTAGAGTAATCTGACATCCACGCTGTCTGTGCACGGCGACGTCTCTCCTCGTCAGTTCACTGCAGGCCTCCTTGTGGTTGTTCCTGCCGCTGAATGGAGGGTCATCGGCTGCATGAGCCGCAGCGTTTTCACCGCGCGTTGTTGTTGACAGTGTGTGGAGAAATAAGTGGATTGAAACTACAGCGAGCTTAAGAGTTTGGCTAAAGTTTCATTGGTTGGGTAAGAGTGTTAGAGAAATCCCCATTTCTGCATCCAGTCCTGCATCAGTTGGAGCAGTTATTGCTCAGTTTGGCCTCAAACCACAGAATGATACGTGATTGCGGTTTAATAGAATGCCATAGTTCAACTTCTGACACACCTCAAACACCAACCGGAAAGGCTGATATTTCTCTTTTGTCGGCATCTCTTGATCAAGCATAAAGCGGATTGGTGAGCTGTTATCACATACGCAGATCCTATTGGCTGCTTGTCATCTTTCAAAAGTGTGAACGGGGTGGAGGCGCCGTTTACACACAGTTTCACGTGAACGTTGTTCTCAGGGATTGTTTCTCTCATGAGGATTTAACCGACCGAGTTCCGACTCTCTAGACGGGTATTGATAAGGTGATGAAAGCAGTCAGAGCGGTGTGTGTGTGGTAGAGAGGTAAGAGGTTGACTAGTGCGCGTTTATACATATATATATATATATATATTATATGAACTTTTGTGTTTTTAGCAGGTGTGTGTGTGTGCATGTGTTGACATACTGAACCTGCCCCTGTTTGCATTTCAGTATTTGAAAGCCGGGTCACTCTCTCTGTCAACTGTATGCAGAGTAAACACAACATGAACACACACACACACACACACACACACACAGTGAATCTGGTATTGGAGCTTATTTGCTTCAGGACTTTTGTGCCAGCTAGAACAGGAATGAATGGAGGGGAACTCAACAATACTGTAGATTTAATCTCTCTCTCTCTCTCTCTCTCTCTCTCTCTCTCTCCCTCCCTGTTTCTCTCTGCGTGTGAAAAACACAACAGCAGCCTTCAGCAGTCAGTCAATCGGGACACACTCAGCCTTCAGAGGAAGACGACTTGGCAAAGGACACAAAAGTGACCTGCACATTCTCACCGCACACGATCCCGCTTCCTTCAAAGAAAAGGGAACCTGACCCTGGGGCAGGAAAAAGGAGCGATCGTACCTCGCCGCGGAAACTCGACCCGCCGGACGGAGAGACGGAAGTCGCCGACCCGCCGTGCCTGACAACCGACAAGGCAGCGAGATGCTGGCTAAGATCCTGGAGGACATGTGGGTGGAGCCCGAGGTGCTGGAGGCCCTCAGCGAGGAGCAGAAGAGGATCCTCTTCTTGAAGATGAGAGAGGAGCAGGTACGCCGCTGGACGGAGCACGAGAAGAGGGAGGAGAGGGAAGGAGGAGAACCCAGCAAAAGGCCCAAGAAAGGTAGAGTAACCATAACAAACTACTGGATCGACAGACGTACAAAAGAGGAAACGCACCTCTCATTCACTCTGGGTTTTCTGGGAAATGTGGTCCTCAGGTTACTGAACATAGCACGACCCCGACAGGAGATCAAAGCCGGGAGCTTCTCTGACGTGGCCTCGTTTGCATACAGTAAAAAAGTGTCACAACTGATCTGGTAGTGATGAACACTGCAGTCTAATAACGATGACCCCATTGAGACGGGCCCCTTTGGAGGGATTTTAATGTTTTGGAAATGCTAGCCAATGCTATTCCTTGACGGCAGTCTTTTCACTGAACTAAGGAACTGGCTGCCTAATATGTGAAAGAAAGGAGATGGATCTGAGCAGTTTGGGAATGCGACCAACTAGATACCCGTCCGCTCACTCCTCTCTGTCTCCAGAGCGCGTCGGAGAACAATGGAGGCCTTCCTAAAAACGCAAAAGGCGCTCTCTAAAACCAGTGTTTGGTTTGTCCTTTGTGGGCTACTGTAGAAACATGGCTGATCGCTAACAAAAACACTTTACTGAAAATGATTTTATCCCTTAATCGTAGTTTAATCCTAATCCTAAATAACCATTTAAAAAAAAAAACTACAACTAATCACTATGACTACGATTTCTTTCTATAAATGGCAAAAAAAACCTCCTTTATTAGAACTAATATTTCAGGTGTTACAAGATTGTACTTTCATGCCCTTTCACAACTAATTCATGAGCAGAAATCTTCTGATGTCCGAGGGGCGACACAGAAGCTGTGTAGTAGTAACACCCGCTCGTGTTACCAATCTGGTTAGTGTGTTTTAAATTACACAGCGAGTGTCCCGGTCCACAGGTCCCTCGGCTCTACCGTTCCGGTCTCACTCCTTTCACGAAGCTTCCTCCGGTTCAGGTGTTTCTCTGACTCACCGAGGCCCTGTCGCCTCCGCGCATGCACAATGCGTCTGCGTCTGTCCGTGTGTCTGACAGACAGCCACTATCCCCGCCTCTCGAATTGTTGGCCAGTGGGCGAAACATTGAGTAAGCCCCGTGGTTTGGGGCGTCGGCGCGCTTTTAATTCCATATCACCTTACCGTCTCTGTTGACTCAATCTGTGCCATGTCACCTGAGAGTGTGTGTGTGTTGTCTGCGTGTTTGCGTTACACAACATACAATCCACTTAGTCTTGTTTCAGTGTTTGTCCGCTGCGCTGCTGACAATCGTTTCGTGTTACACAACTATTCAACAAGATGTGTTTTTTTTTTTTGCTGCATTTCCTGTAGTAAGAGAGACAGACGGCTGACCTCTGCGTCTTGTAACTCGCCGTGTGAACATAAAGGTGTGTCATGCAGACAGACCACGACTAATCTTTGGTCAGGTGACATCAGAACCAAGACGTCCACACAATGTCCCCTAATGCGCTGCGTCACTGCAGGCAAACACGACGAGTCATTCCTTCCAATATTGGAGAGAAAACAGAGCAGCCTTTGTTGGCTGGTTTCTTAGAACTCTGTGTGGTCGGTTCACAGGAGTTGATCGGGTCCGTGGACTCCGACAGCATTCGTTGCCTACTGCGTCTCTTAGAGGGAAAATCGGCATTGATGTGCTATTGGCTGAAAAGTGCTGGTGTACAGCTCTCTGACGAAGCCACACCCCCATCAGTGATGTCATGGCAGGTGTTTTTACCGTTTTGATCAGGTGACATGGAATTCACCTTGGGGGTTGGGAGGTTATTTCTGCCTACTGTGTCATGGGGAGATGACAACAAAGCACACAATGTGGGTGTTGATGTATGGGAATACCTCTTTGTTGTGCTAAGAATGTGGGGTTTTCTATGATTTAAAGATAACACAAATACAATTAAAACATTTGATATAAATTGTTAATTTCCAAGATAATTTGAATATCAAGAGTGAAAAAATAGAAGAATTAGTTGTTTTCAAAATCTGTTGCCCTGCTGTTTACTATTTACTTTCTGTAGTTTCCCTTAATTGTTTGAACATATCTTACCAATATCCAATTGATGAATGCTTTTCAGTGAGACAAACAATTTACTCCAATTGAAAGACACAAAAGAGAGTGAGGGAATAAAAAGGAGGGACTAGTGGAGCCCATCGCTGATGTGTCTCAAGCTCTATGTCGGTCAGACAGCGCCCTCTTTTGGATAAAGGCAGGAATAACAACCCCTCAGACCGAATCTTTCAAAGAGACAGATAGCTTAGCCATTTAAGAAAAATAAAATATGTCTTTCTCTTCCAGGCGACAACAAACGTGTGAAGTGGCAGCTGGGTCGGGACGGAGATGTCAGCGTCATTGTGATCGGAGAGGTGGACGAGTTCAGGTCCTCCAAACTCCTCCAGACCCTCATGAACAACAGGTAGCCACAGAACCTGCAGCAGTAGGTTTATTAATAAATGAGAATACCCTATTTGCTCCAAGCAGCAACACCCAGACTTGGAATCACATGCAAACCTCGTGTTTGTTTGTCACATTCTAATTTGCACACGTTTCTTTCTCCTGAGCCTCCCCTTTGTTTGAGTGTCTCGTCCCGTTTCTAAACCAACACATGAGAACAACCCCCGTGATGAAGCCTAGACTTCCTTGAACAGATTACATAATGGTTGACTTTGATAACTTTGATAATAAGAGCGTCGGTCAGCAAGCCTTCTCTTTCTCCTAATTTGATTATTGCAGTTATTTGCCATATGACTGGGAGGGGGTGGTTGATTGAAAGGTTAAATCGGCTGTCCGAGGGACTAACAATCGGTCTCCTCTCCTTCCAGGGTCCACAGTGACACTGAGCACGGCGTCCACGCGGTGGACTTGCTGCCCGGAAGAGAGAGCAAGCAGCTCACCTTTAAAGAAGAGCTTCCCCTCGCAGATGCTATCGTGAGTGCACGTGTTTGCGTGAGGGGTTTGAAGTAACACGAGCCGCGTGTCCGGGTCTCACCATCAAATTGTGTCCCGCGTGCATTCAGGAGGCCCCCTCCTCCTCCTCCTCCCCACACGACAACTGGTCCGAGGAGGACTCCTGCAGCGCCGAGGACGACCCGAAGGACCCCGCCGAGGACAGTGGCAGCGAATCAGGCGGCAGCTCGGACACCCGCGGCGACTGGACGCCTCTACGCGGGCCCCGCGCTAGTAGCCATGGCAACCGGCCGCCGCCTGAGGCCCAGCTGTCAGACGCGGAGCGGCCGGGCCCACAGGACGGAGGTAACACGACGAGAGAGAGGGGGGAGAGAAACCCGAGCGCGGTGTGCTCAGGCCGGGATTTACTCCTTAACGGATTCTAGTCAGGTGCGGGTGGAAAGGTGGTAGTGGCCACGTTGTAAAGATACGCCATTGGCCAAACATTTGAACAGCTAAAGTAGTTAGCTACATAGAAATGCTAAGACAGACTGTAGCAATGGAACAACTAAAACATTAGATACTAAATGTAATGCACTCCGAAAATAGTAAAGGTTTCCTTTTTCAGTGTTAAAATATACATTTTATTTATGGACTATTATTACTAAAGCATCTACAGCAAAATATGCACATCCAGAGGTAAAGTTGAAGAGCGGCGTAAATGCACTTTCATTCTTACCAACACTGCTGGCAATAAAAGCCTTGCTTCTGTTCATGGGTTAGTTCTTCAGAGCTAAATAAAGCCTCCATCGGCTTCCCTGGAAACCTGCTTTGTAAAGCTTAACGAAGGGGCCCGTTGCTGTTGTATTGTATTAACAGGACACCCACTTTTCACAGCTACATAGAACACGGGTGATTTGTGTGGGAAGGGCAGAGGTGAAACAGAAAGGACTTTAATACTCAACGGAGTACCGCTGCAATATGAGCTCAGAGGCGAATAAATCTTGAATACTCACCCTGCCTTTCTCTCTCCCCCCCCCCCTCAGAGAGGTCGCAGTACGGAGGCCGCGTGGCGCAGCTCAAGAAGCAGTTTGCGGCTGATGCTCACAGCCCATCCGCCTACACCAAACCTCCTGTACCCACCAAACCCGCTCACCTGCAGACACCTGCAGTGCCCGTCATCCACTCAGACTGAAGGTGTGTCCGGCCCGCAATGAGGCGACGCTGAGACAAAACCCGTGCGAAAAACACCGGCTCTGTTAGACGCCGATGGACCCGGGCCGAGGCCGCGTACAGAGAAACGGATCTTCACTTGAGCCGAAGCGGTGACCTGAGAGACACTTTGTGAGGCCACGGCACGCAGAGAGAGAAATACTTGAAACCTTTTTCAACCTAAATCAACCTGAATAAGAAAAACCAAAAAGCTTTGATGTTGCCGAGTCCAAATGGTTTGGTTTCGACGCGGAGAGATGTCTGGAGACACACACATACACGCTGACAGACTGTTGAATACAGGAGGAAACGCACTGTGTCGCACTTGATAAATGAGTATTATAGGTTTTCCTATGCAGGAGGTATAAGCAAGGTTATTGGAAACGGAAACATGTTTGATCTGTTTGATGTTTGAAAGAATCTGTGCTGTTCAAAAGCTTTAAAGTTTAAACCGTTTTAAATGTAGTCCATGTAACTTGTCAATGTGCATTTTTATCTCTGCTCAAAGAGTCAATCACCAGTTTATCAATCACAACGTTGGCAGGTTTTTTTTTTTTTGTGGGGTCAAATAAAAGGACTGAATGCATGGTAAATAATAAACTGACTTGTTTTCCAAAACGGCTTGCTATCCCTCATGTTCACCCATGGACGCGCACACACACACACACGCAAATGCCTCCTGACACCTCAAACAGCCCTTTAACTCTCGGTTACATGTCCAGTGTCTTCATTATCTGAATGCAGTTGAAGTAATTACGTCATTCCTATAACTAAGGTTGTGGGAAATCAGTGTAGTATTTTTGAAAGCAAACTTTAATAATAACTAGTGGGCGAGTACTTTAATTGTTGCTTTTATGGAGGGTTCTTCTTCACTCTATCATTTCCACTTTGGTCCAGGCTGAAATATCTCAGCTATGATTGGATGGCTTCCAGGGTGAACTCTGCAGGGCTAATGAGTAAATAATAGCATTCCAACTTGGTTAACGTGGTAAAAATGACACACAAATGATTCAGCATCGTCATTTAGCTCAAAGCACGGCTGAAGACTCAAAGTGCTGTGATTCTTGTGGACCCAAAAGTAATTTGCCCTATAAACAGAAGCATTTTTTTAAAGTTATACATGTTCATTGACCTTGAAGGTTAATACCTGTCCTTAGAAATCGCAGTTTAAGACAAAATTCTCGTCACAAGGTCCACTGACTTCTCCGCAGCTGATCAGCTGCATCAACCTCCATCATGTGACTGAAAATCAATATTGATGTCACACAATAACAAGTTAAATCGTCTCCATTCCGACGGAAACGAGAGACACCACACTCGTGTATGTTGATAGCTCTGGAAACAAAGTAAGTTGACACTGTCATGAGGATGTTTTTGGTCACGCTTCATATTTAATATTGGTTCTGTTATCTGGTATCTGTCACATCTGTTTCTTGTTTTGGGGCCTTTAGTGAAACACATGACCAGTTGGACGGAGTCAGGGGGCAGGTCCGGTGGTCATGGTCACGTGGTAAATTTGGCTGGGGAAAAAAAAGAGACTTTCCGGCCCTTTGGAAACAAACACTTTTTGAGGGACTGACCTGTATGGTGATAGATATGAAGAGCTGCTGTGCTGATCAACCAGCAAGGATTTCATCAGCCCACCACTGTAGCTTTGTAGTTAATGTCTCTTTTTATGTTCTAGTGTTCCCAGACCTAAAGGAACGGGGAAAGTTCCCAGCCGGGAATACACACACACACGCAGAGTTTAGATGCGAGAAAAATGGAAAATCCTTCTTGTAAGAACACATGATCTTTAAGGTTAAAGCAGGAGTTTGAAGTCACTAACTATTGGGTCACATTTCCATTACTTGGTCACTAATTCCCCGCTACACTAAAGTGTCGATCCTGCAGAAACTTTGACTTTTTTTTTAAGTATTCCATTTTATTTCAATTTGCGTTGCAAATTCCCCTGATAACCTTCTATGTAAACGTGATTGAAAGACTCGATTTGATGTGATTTTTTTATTGTGCTTTTATTTGTATTCAACACAGTCGTACGGTTGTAGGGTTATGGGGGAGGGGTGATGGGGGAGGGAAGGGGGTGATGGGGGGGGGGTGGTGATAGCGGAGGACACAGAGGAGCGGCCGATGGCGCTCACTTACACAATGATTGTCTATTCAGTGAGATGCGTCACAAAGCCGCCCGGCGGAGATCAAACGGAGGCGCGCGCGGGGCCGATTAGCATGTGGTTCCGAGCGAGACGGAGCCAACGCGAGCCAGTGCGAGCCAATGCGAGCCAGGTCACGGGAACGCAACGCGTCAGAGCCCACTCAATACAACTTCTCATTCCCTCACCATCTCCAGCATACGTGGACGCGCTTTCGTGCGTGGGCGAGGAGCGTACGTGAGCATGACTGTGTGTGTGTGTGCGCTCCCATATTTCTTGAATCATGTGACTCGACACGAGCAGTCATGCACGGTGTGAAAGGCCCCGCTATAAATAGGAGGACAGTGTTGGGTTTCCCAGCCCAGCATTGTAGGAGTCGGGTCATCTTTGTCCCACAAGAAAGCGCGAGGCGCTGACCGGCGGCCTTTCTATTTGCTGGAGGTGTTAAGAGTCTGGAGGTGAAGTCAGGACACCAGCAGCAGTTCTGTTTGCGCAGTTCCGCTCTTTTCCTTTTTTTTTTAATGATGTGTGCCAGGCATGAGAGTTTGCTGCAAAGATCCAGGCTTTGATAACTAGCGTTTTATCTCATTTTCTGAATGAAGTCATTGTGAAGAAGACTAGTGAGTCAGCGGGTTAACGGCTCGGTACTTTAGTTTAACAACACCTCGATGATGATGTCATTAGATTCAGATACATTAGTTGCAGTGATCTTCTTTATATGTTCGTATCATTAATATAAAAGCCCCCTTTGACCTGAACATGTCACAATTCCAAAAAATACCGTATGATTGAGGAGAATAATATAACTTGAATAATACCTCCATGTTTCCAACTATTGACAAAATACACATTTAATGTCTAAACATGACCGCATGTCACAGCTCCTTGTCTAAATCTACAGAAAAGTAATGAACACTATTATGAAAATATGTTATATTTGATGGTTCACATGTAAAAGACAATCTGCAAACTAATCCTTTTTCATAAAAAGTAAAAATGACCAACTCTGATCTTAACCAACAACACATACACTTAAGTAAGTGCTTGCAACAAACAGTGTGCAGGAAAAGAAAGAGAAAGTCTAAATCAAACTAGTAACTATCTGGATCAAGCTCCAAAAACATTGACTCCTACATTCCCCCGAATAAAATACGTAGATTTCTGCCTAGCCGCTTGCCTCAGGCTGAACTCAACTCCCCCGTAGAGACACAGAAGACATGTAGATGTTTACGGGCTTTTGGTCGTAAAATTTGGGAAGTCTCCCCTTAACCAAACCAAAACTCTGAAAATGCATTTCAGTGAATACAAAATAATGGATAGACACTTTTGGCTTTCTTGAAGGAATTGTACTTTCTTGATTCTTGTTGTACCTGCCAAGCAACAGTACATTAGCATGTTAGCACACTGATATTAGCATTTAGCTAAACACACCATTGGGACAGCTAGCAATGTTCGCATGTTCACTTTAAACAGCACAGTTATACACTGAGGTGGGATTGGGACAGTTTGAATCTGTAGCTGTATTGAGATTCATTTGATATTATTTAGATATTGCAAAATACCTTTCTCAATGGCCTGCATTATTTGAGATTATGAAGCAGATCAATACTGGCTGACATTTTTGTCAAATGGTTAGTCAGTGCTGCAGTTCAATACCATTGATTATCATTTATTTTCTTCACTAATGATTCGCTTTAACACTTACATAAATCAAAGTCAAATACCCCATATAGCTGACATTACTGCTCAGGTCTTGACGTAGTAAAGGTTGGAATGATGCTAATTAAATATTGCAAGCATTTCGTAGCTCAATACTCACGGCAACAATCAATTCCACATCATGAGGCGGCATGAAAAGAAGCTGTTATGAAACACAAGTGCAGGCAGACGTTATCGCCGCGCTTTGCCTAACTTCCTGGAACCACCGGGCCTTTTTAAAAAATCAGCAGCAGGCTAAAGATTAACAGAATCTTCTGTACATGTTACCTCTGAGAAAGCACCGAGTGAACCCGCCTGAGGTTCATTATATCAGAATATTTAGAGAGCTAAATCTGTTCTCTTTCTACGTTCGGGTTCTGAATCGATACAAGGACTGAAACTTGTTCAAGTAAGTTACAATTTAAACCAAATTAATGTGCTTGTTTTTCATAGAGCCTGAACCAGAAGTAGATGGTTCGGTGGCGAAGTCTATTCCTAAACCAGCTTTAACAGCTTTAAGGGTCAAAGGTCAAGAGTCCCCTTTGACCCCTAGTGTCACCAAAATATAACCTGAGGGCAGATGAGCCGGAGCTTTTCAAGGATGTAAGAAACCATTGTATGACCGGCCAGTAGAATGTTTCCCACGTGGACAAAAGGTAACTCAAATGGATCACAGAGGGCGTAATGAGGAATGATCTCAGAAAGATGCAGTTCCTGCAAAGCTGTTACACATTTTCTAACACTGGGGATATGGCCAGCAGAGAGAAGAGGAGAGAGAAGAAGAAAAAAAAAATGTCACAATGAGACACAGTGTCTCCAAGCAGACGCAGTGGCCAAAATATCACAGGTCTGGCTCATGAGTGCGGGTCCGCCCCGCTCCAGCGCAGGTTGCTTTTGGGCTGGCAGGTTGTTCCACTGCAGTGTGTGTGAGAGGAGAAGCCTTTTTCGTTTTCCCTCCGGAGTGGGCAGGGCCGCTGGTGCTAACATATGTAAGCTCCACAGGGGTCTGTGACGGCACACACCGGCTATCTGGACAATGCAACCGTCATTAACCTCTCGCCTCCCTGCGTCTCGGCCTCACTGCGTTTTGTTCAGGCCTCCGTCGCCGCTCTCCCTCTCGCCTCTCCTTCCCTCTTTGTCTGGGCCACGCTATCTTCATCCCCTGCTGGTCCGTCTCCCCCGTCCTCCTCCCCGCGTATGTCTCCCTCTCTCTCTCTCTTTTCTCTCCCCTGTGACAGGCTTTTCATCTTTCCCTAGTTTTTGCGCCCCCCTTAACCCTCCCCTCTCTTCCCTTCTCCCTCTCTGCCCTTCATCAGAGCTCTTTTTCTCCCCCCACCTCCCTTCTACCTCTCCCTAGTTCGGCTTTCCGCCCCCCCTTCTTCCTCTTTCTCCTCCACCCCCAATTCCCACAACTCTCCCTCTCAAAGCCGCCCCCCCCTCCAAATTCCCCCCCCCCCCCAACCCCCAACCCTCCTCTTTTCTGTCCTCCGTTCAATCCCTCCTTCTGCCCCCCTCCTCCTCCCTTTCTCTCCTGCCATCTTGCAGGCCAGTGGAGCCAGACTGCAGGCGTTCAGGGAGTCACTGGACCTGCTGGGCAGCGGGTGACACAGATTTCCGGTGTGTGTGTGTGTGTGTCTGTGTGTGTTAGCGTGTGTGTGTGTGTGTGTGCATGCGTGACGAGAACAGGGAGGGGGGGGATTAAGCTCCAAATCACTAGAAAGGCACCGAAGAGAGAGGGGGAGTGAGGGGAACGAGAGAAGAAAAAAAAAG